ATATACACTTATATGTATATAAGTTAGCCTAAGCGAAGGCTTTGATCTAAGTTTTGGCTTTTAATTCTAAGCTTATGGAAGCTTAATGGAATAGGGGTTTGTCTGTGACAAAGAAACGTCAATTCTAATACTGTTGAAGCTTTAGAATTTTTCAGGTGTGTACGGGTTAAATTTTCTATAATTTTCTATGTTTTTTTCTATAGCGAATTTGTAAATGAGGGAACTATATATGAGGGAGCTAAGTATCTTTTCGTATTTCATCGAACTCCTGCTAAAATATAAATAATCAAATTGTTTTGCTTATCCCAAAGCTGTATTTTCAATGCCACGCTAAAAATAAATTAGTAAGCGATCAAACCTAGTTCTTTGATTACCTTGGTGGTCAAATAAGCCAGAGTGAACTGGGACTAGGTATGTAACTATTATCCTGCTTCCTACGTTTCGGTGAAGTAAGTTGTTTCTCGCCTTGAATTAACTCGCGAATTTATTAACTAGAACAGTAAGACAATTGTCTTTATGGCGTATCGTTGGCATAATGTTGGCGACAAATCATGACATACGTATCGTCGCGTCTGCCAGTGGAAATAGTTCCGCCATGCATTGTTTTTCCCAGGGTGAAGAAACACATGCCAATGGATGCACCCGTTGAAAGTCAAGGTTTTGCAATGGATCCGTCCGGATGGGTTACAAAAGAAACGTTTGAAGTCTCAAACATTTAGTCGCGATCATTCACTGCTCCGTTCAGAAACCATGCCTGTTAATCATGGACGACCAGGAGACCTACACCGGTCTAAATGCGAAGCTTTTGGAGAATGGCTTCCGCATCATTCCACTTCTTTCATATTGCCCGAACAAGCTACAACCCGTGGCAGTCTTTATGCCATTCAAGGCTCAGCTTCGTACATCTCAGCAGAACCTTGTTACTGTTCACGGGAGAAGGGTCGTAACTTGTAACGTATCCGGATCAACAAAAAGTGTGTGCGATCATCATTTACGATAGCAAATATCGTTGGAGGGTTCCAGAAGATAGGTACCTTTCCGCTGAACGAAAACATTACGAAACAGAAGATGATTTTCCTCCTTCAGTCGCACAGGCTGATATTTGGCTGGTATAGTCCGGTTGTCGCAACATCTCGTCCCAGCTGGGTAGCCGTTCATCCTAGAAAATGGAAGCTCCGTTCCGAGCAATTGCCGCCCTATCGCCAGAGGCAAAAGGCAGAACCCGCACACCATTCGTTATCTTTGCAAGACAACATAGGTAACTCCGTTTTGCTAATCTCTAACCTTTCGTTTTCACTATTTGACAGAATCAATTACATTATCTGCTTCCTTGACAAATCCAAAATTTAGCAGCTGTTCAACGGAGAATACAGAAACACTTTTCATCTGTCTTAAGCCCTCATACTGGTTTCTTTGCGTAGAATCATTAGTGGTCAGTGTAGCTCCACCCCCTGGCCACCAATATGGGTGTTTCCATCTAATTATTTCCCAAGTATTAGCAATTTATTACTTTCCTATTTCAGGCCCTGAGATAGAGAAATTTATTTCGTTTTCTTCCGCGGCAGAGATTTTTTATACCGGTGGCGTTTCGTAAGTGTTAGTGTCGAATGTTTACGTCCAGTACCGCCGTTAACTGACTTCCGGTACGAAACAAAGTGTGTCTATGTCTGGGTTTGTACCTAGTAGCTAAGATTAGCAGACAAATAGTTTATTCACTAATTTTAACAAAGTTTTTCATAATAGGACACTGTTCCTAAATAATAGGTGCAAGTAAATCAATGTTTCATTTCTACAGATATTCTTTTTCGACACGGCATCTATATTGCTGTACAGTATTAACGTTCGGCACTATATAATAGAAATGTCCACCTTAAGAGACAGGCCAAGCAATCGGTCCGCGTCTTCCATAATCAGGGTCCTACAAAATAGTTTAAGGCAGGCTAATTCAGTTTTCATTTTCAAGGTTGATCTGCGCTGTGCTGTTAAAAGCTAGATTTGGATACGTTACGCAAAAATTGACTGTAAGATTGTTTACAGCCAAATATAGAACAGGTAATATCGTTTGGCGAATGTACGTACTTCATATAATATTACTGATTCAACAGATAAGATTCAGCCGAAAACGTTCTTCGAGTTGTACGACTGACGTGCTCGGTAAGACTAGATAGGGTAAATAATTTTCACTTACTTCGTACAGACGAAATTGTTTTTGAGAGTGAGGATTAGGATGATTAACTGAATACTTCGAAACGTAACTTTTCTCAGTATTTGTTTTTATGGGTGTCACGAAGTTTTTTGTACGAAAACAGCTGCGATCCATGAGGCTCGGTGCCGTGAACATGCTCGCACTACTTTTAGTACTGCATAAAATCCCTACGTTATTTTACGCAACGTCAGCCAAGACAGCGCAACGATGGAGTTCGATCGCTCTTACATTGCTGAATTACAATCACTCGGTTCTTTTCTTGGGTCAAGGGGAGTAGGGACAAGGACGAACTTGTACCTACTCGACTCTGAGTAGGGTTTTGTCTGTTAAGGATTGTCGTGTTGATTGAATGCCTATCCAGTCACTGACGCACGCGAGAAGCGGCGGGCCGCGCTGGAGCGTCGAGCAAAGCACGTGCCAATCTGATAGTTAATCGAATAACGACATCCAACATTCAACTACAATTGAACGAAGTCCGAGGACGAGAGACAGCCAACAAACGAATAGTGGGAAGTCGCCATCTTTAGCAAAAGTCGCCTCGTTCGACAAGGTAGCGTGCCTTTTTTTAGCATTTTATGCTATGCGTGACCTAAATCCACTAGTTATATCGGTCACTAAAGGAGCTCGTATTCCTCTGCGGCATGTTATACTGTATAGAACTATTTGACGATGCATGGCCAGGTAATTTAGATAGACGCCATTATCCAAACTAATCAGTGAGCAGCTTCGCCCGAAAAATGTATTCTGTCCTATAAGGTGAATGTGGTCAGGCGTGCAAATTAGGTTTGATATTACTCAAAACTTATCGATAGTGCACTGAAGGGTTTGCCGGCGGATGTAAGAACTAACGGTTTGTATTTGTATCTTATAAAAATTATAATCGGTGCCTATTGTGTTACAATGCAGACATCGTACTCGCATGGGTTCATTGCCACGAGCTGATTGTTTTGATGATACGAACACGATAGGGGAGAAAGGGAAAATGATCGGTCAGAAAGCAGACAGAAATACAGAATTATACCTACTGAACTGAAGAGATTCTATTTTTAAGAAATTCGGAGAAAGTTTTGGATTGCTTTTACAAAAATCTTTGTCGATGGTAGCACGCAGCGTTATAGGATGGATCATTAACTTTTACATATACCAAAAAACAAACCAATTTGGCTCAGGGTCCATCGTTGCAGGATGAAACGTTAAAGCTTACCTCTACGTGCGGTGCATTGCATGTACATGCAGAAGTAACACGGGAGATTTCCGACTACATCAGCACATTCCACGCTACGTGTGCTTCAATGACGTTTATATAAATAAACAATTTAACAATTAGGTCAGGGTATGCGTTATTGTTGCTTTTTTGTTTCAGCTTTGCCCTTACTGTATATGTCTGTTCAGCGTTTGGATAAGTCTCTACTACCTCGTCGGTAGTAGAGTCCTTTGCCGTTTTTCTAGATACAGCACCAGATCCCATTCTGACTTCTGATTCCAAAAATACATAATAATAATAAAATAGATAAAATTCGACTTCTTACACCTACTTTATTTGATTCTGCACACCTACTTTATTTGATTCTGCAGTGAGGTCATTCATAGAGCTATAATTGTTACGATCAACAGGGGGATCTCTCGATCAACATGAGACAAAGCAAAAATTGACTTCCTAAGAAGCATTTAGATCCAGAGTAAATACGAGAGAGGCCGTGATCTACATTTGGTGTCAAAGTGTCTGGAACATTGGTAAATGCTGTAGAAAAACAGGTCGCTGGACAAGGAACGCTATATGGTTCAATTGCGCTTCTGATACTCAGGGCACAAAAGAGTCGACCTACAAAGTGACCTTAACCACGCTGCTCCATTGCAATGCTGAGCCACGTATGGCAAGGGCCGCTACATCCATCCTGCAAGAATTCTATTGAGAGACTTTTTTTTTTACAGTCAGCATAGTTTGTAAATCGGGCAAAAAGACATATCAGTAGAAACTAATACTAAAACGAATCATTACTTGTCGAGAATACAACACGTTTATTAATTTCAGACTCAGTTGTATATTCCTGTGAGATTTGTCGAATAAAGTGGTCAATATCGGCTTTCCTTCGGGAGAAGTATCTTTTTTAGCGGATTCTATGACTCAGCGCACACTTGTTGTCCGTTCTGCAAGCACAGGATTTAACGATAGCCGATTATGTTGCCAATATCGAAGAAGTGACAAATGATATTCTCAAACTGATATGACACCTATTGCTATTGCGGTCGGAAATCGAACAACAGTGACCCTTAGCCTTAATTCGGCTTCAAAGAAGGAGTCAAAGATGGATCAATTGCACTTGTTGTTGCAGACGAAAAACCAAACAGAACCAATTTCTTCAAGGCACGTAGAAGATTTCAGCGTGTCCGAATAGATATGGAGTTCGACCTTTGTTTTGAAAAAGTCCGGTAGCACCTGCCGTGGGACAATGCCGAGACAAACTGATTGGTTCATTACATAGAAACATTTTGATGTAATTATCTGAGCATGTCCGACGCAGGAAGCTAAAACGACTGTTCAGCAAGAGAGGACATTGACGCACTGTTGATCAACTTACATATATTTAAGATACGCCGTCCATATTTCTCTATTCATTTGGCTTGGCCCTCGTAGCGTCGTGCTATTTTGAGAAGCAGACAAGAAAGTTCTTTGAAAATCAATGTAACGTAACTTCATATATACATATATGTATATATACGTACATATCGGAAGTCTTCATTTCACATTTGCTGGAGCAGTAGAGGATGTGCAATTGATCGATATGGACAGTAGATTTATAAGATTAAGGTAATCTAAGGTAAAGTATATATATATATATATATATATATATATATATATAGATAGATATACTGTACATCTAAAACGCAATATCTGCAACAATGATCACTGTGGTCATTCAAACTAGATAATTAATTACACGAGGGGTTCGAGGGAGAGATGCCAGAACGTAGGCAAGTGTTGGCCTTAAGTAGAGACTTGAAAAGTACGACAGTCAATTGCTTTCGAAATCATTCAAGTTTTTATAGATATTTTTTGTTGAATAGCTGCATCCAGTTGGTGCTCGTCGAGCTTTCTTTTTGGATTCCACAGGATATACGGGAAAGACAGCAGACTCTACGTGGCAGCTGTTGAGTGATACCTGACATACAAATATAGCCCGACCTAAACACACAGTACCCTAATAATAAATAAAAAAAATAACAATAATATAAAAATCTATGCATAATATAAAAGATAACAGTAAGAAATGTGTCATACACACAATAGCCTGTAGACGATCTACCTATATTTCTCGCCTTAACGAACGTCTCATAAGCTCGATTGAAGTAAGAAATCGTATACTTCAGTACATCGCATGTGACGTATCTAACACAAAGAGAACGAGAGATTTTTACGTCAGCTGAGGGATTCGCCATCGCCTATGCCCCGCAGGCCTATAAGCGCCCAGCCTTAAAGGAGCGGAAAGATTTTGTTGTCTACGATGTACCAAAACACGTACAGAGTGTTCAAAGAACGGTACAATAAGGAATTATCGGTTGATTGGATATTACGCGTAAACGCAGCTCAGTGCTTTCTAATTACAATCATTTACATAGTAAAATTAAAATTATCCAACGTTCCAAAGACGTTTAATTCACCCTATGGATACATCTATATTTATACTTAAATCTCACTAAGCGATTAATAGATTTTAGGCAATAGTGAACTGTGATAATAATCGAGGAAACTTACTTAAATAATAAAATGATTTGGAATCGAGAGGAAGACGTTGAATGCGTACAATTGCAGACCTATTGTCCAGTTTTATTTTTCACTTATATCTTCTTTAACTTCAAGCTTGAGATCATGTGCCGTTATGTACGTCGCCAGTTCATTTGAATCGATGCGCGGGCCTTTTCTCATTGCCAAATGCAAACGAAGATATTCTAATTTAACACAATATTACTAACTGCTTTTTTTTTGAAATCTAACTAGCTAATCATCTTGGAGATGGAGACGTGTGGCATCGAAGGTCTGTTTGGCAAAATTCACTTCAGCCAGCTCGTCACCGCTGAATCTCAGCGTCTCGACACAAACTGGGTTTCCCCTTCGTTTAACTAAACCGGTCTAAATCGAAAGGATCTATGTCCATTAATAGATTGCACTTATTATTAGTTAGTTATTTGCTCACCTTCTCCGGGTGGATGTCTTCGGTGCACAAGCAGACTGCAAGTCTGCCTTTCCTTATTGTAACAGAAAAATCATATGCTAAATATGGGGAAAAAAAAGCCCCAGATTATGACCGTGCTGGTAAAAGGTTTTAAGTGGCTTTTCAAGTGGTACATGAAAAATTTGAGAAATTTTTGACATTACTGAAACGTTCCCGTGATATTTTTGTCGAGCGATTAGTCCAGCGACACCTCGCTTCATCGCTGGCCAATAACTAACACAATTTGACAAAATGTCTGTTTAAAGATTATTGTAAGTTATTTCTGAAGCTGCTACTGGAAAGGTGTTTGTACCGTAGCTGATTGGGATTTTTCATGGAAATATTCACGTTTTCTCGAGGGTAATTTGTCTAGGAAAGGCTTGTGAACTTGTGCGGCAATTCCTAAAAAGGTTTATTGAACCGCTGTATGGTCGTCGCTAAAAAACAAACCAAAAATTGTATGTTCTTCTTGAGACTTGTATTGCTCACGTTGTTGATGGTTATGATGCAGAAGTATTATTTTTACGAAATTAATCGTCATTGTATAGATATGAAATTAAGAAGGTGAACTGTTCGAGCGGGCAGGTCCAGAAACTTGTGTAATAGGGTATTGGAAATGCTCTTTTTATTTACTTCGTTTCTTAGCTTAGCAGAAAAGTACTAACTAAAGGTAGAAATCTACTGTTACACAAGTGGAATAAAAGCTGTTTTGTACTGAGATTTTTTCAAGTCAACACGTGGTGGATCACAAGCAATTTTTCGATTTGCAAAGTACTTAGTAACCCGATTTAGTCCAATTATCGTATTATTTAAAATGGTTCGTAATCACACACTTTAACGTACAGCGTATTAGAGCACTACAACACAAAGCATTATATTTAATCGTGTGGTCCCTTGTCAAACGTTTTAAACGAGTAGCACGTTATTACTAACGGCCCGTTTTTCATACCACGTAAAAGCTACTTTTACAGGCCCTCAGAAACTACTGCACTGGTTTATCGCATTCTTAATGCCCACTTAACGTATCGGTTCAAAGGCCCTCTACTCGTACGATACCCAATATTTCACAAAGTCTTGCTAACGTCAAATTGCTGCGTCCTTCGGATGGTTTTGCCCCATAATTATCAAGTTGCCTAACGTAAGTTTGACTTTCAATCAGCAGCCCTCCGTAAGTTGGTGTACGGCTCAGCACAAAATTTAAGCCTTAGGCTTTAAAAAAACGTCGACACCTTCGAAGCAATCAGGCATCAGTTGGCTTTTTATAGCTACTGATTTCTATGATACACTCTACGATAACGCGTCTCGCAGCTAGTTGTTGTTTCTCTGCGTGTAATTTCCGACAACCGATTCAAGTCTGTGATAAACGGTGTAACCATATCGAGATGCAATGATAAATTGCCCGACGAGCTCTACACCCGCGTTGGCGAGACCATAACACGCAGCGATAACATGAGTTAGGAGCGTGTCCATTGGTACCTAAACCTCGAAACCTCTTACTAGTTCGTCAGCATCATGCTAGCAAAGGACAAAAGCGTCGTTGTATCCTATTCGCATGATGTTTGTTGTTATCGTAGATGCAATATATCTCATACACAGTTTTTTCAAGCATTTGGTGCACCAACATTTGAAAAGGAATGGTGGAATCCTACATTGATTTTTTTTCTTTTTTCGCTACTAGAATCTGTTATCGGACCGATGCGTCGATGGGGCCAAAATCGTTTTTACTGTTATCCTGATGACCATATTATAGAAAAAAATATGGTAAACAAAGCACAGGTAACTCGTTAATGCCAATATTTTCTTGCATCTCGCAAGATACGTTAGGCTAACTTGACTTGGAAGGAATTTATATCTACAGAAACTTATGGTAGTGATGACACAAGGCTTTAGAATAGATGTTATTCGAACCAGTCACACTCTCCTATAGAGCACACTGTTAAGCGCTGCATTTCCATGGGACACTGTGCTCTATAGGAGCCGGTCGCAAAGTATCATAAAAACACGAAGTGTCTGGTCGGTGACATTAAAATCAAATAAGCTCAAACACCGGCTACGGTATTAACGTTATGAATATATACATATACGTTTAGATTTTATTCGTATCCTATTCTTTAATACGAACAAAGGCCGTTTAATATTTACGAAAAGCAAACACCCCGCAAAGAGAGGCGCGATTTGAGGCAAATCTTTATAGCGTTGCTCTTCCATGTAGGCTAAAACCGGCTCGAATAAGGTTTCGCGCCCTTTCAGAAGAGGGACCCTATTCGTTTGGGGTCCCACTTGTGGAATACTTCCATAGCTTTTGCTCGAAGATATCATTCTATTAGCACTCGAAATACTTCCGATATCATTCAAAATCCATATAGGCCATGTCCGCACATATCTGAAAGCTAAAGGATCGAACCTCTACGACTCTTAGTATCGATGCTCAGATTTTATCTTCTTCAAAAAAGTATCCAAAGCAACTGACAATTGCCCCATTGCATCCAGCGTCCCACGACTAGTACGTTCGCCCTTCTAGCACCTGAGCTATTCAAAGATACTAGACCGTATCGGTTTGTTTGTATTTAGATGGTACCAAAAATCGCTAGCGTTGCTTTTTAAACCACTCCGCTCAAAGAACCTTTTTCAATGGTTAGTCCCAATTTATGGCTCGCTGGTTAGTGCAAGATGTAACGAGTGCGCAAGACTTCGATAACTAGATAAATACATTACGCATATAACTCTACTCTCATTCAAAGAACTCTACATTCATATAGGTCTTCTATAGGTCTTTAAAGTGTACCACGTGAGAGACGTCATCTAGTCTATGCAAAACGTGAGCACCAAGATGCCTGGTTCAAAGCCATCTTCTATTATATGTATATCATTTATTTTTGTGTTACAATACCGGTTAAGCTTACGGTTATATTGGTAGGGTAGTCGATGG